CTTTCTTTTCAGTTGTTGATAGGTTTAGCAATATGTTAAAATATTTTTCTTGTTTGTATCTTTAAATGGAAACAAACTTTTCTTCCTTCCTGATCTCTCTGGAATTGGAAAATATTTGAGGATATTCTTATTTTATGGGAGAAGGGTTATTTGCATAAGTTCAATCATGCTTGTTGCATTGATTCAGAAATCGAAAATACTCATTATTGGACAGGGCTTTGACTGGAATGTTACATCTGAAGATTAATTAGAAAACTATGGAACTAAGGTGGATCTCAAGTAAGCCAACAGAAGCTCTTAGAAAGATGGCCTGGCACCATAAATAGTTCTGCCTGGCAGAGAGGATTAGAGAAGATATATGAAAGAATCTATAACATAAAATAACCTGGGCATTTCCAGCGCAGCATTGTAATCAGGAGAGATTGCAAAAGAGCAACCACACCAGAGAATTATCTTGAGAAAGACTTTGAAGGGAGAAAAAGAGACTAATCTTTGCTAGCAGATGGTATATCACAGAGTACACTTGGGCAAGGCTGAATTGAGAAGGTTTATGTGTGACTAGTGTGCTGGGCATAAGCTTTTCAACAATTTGAGTAGTTGACATGTAAATATTTTCTCAAAAATATTTAAAACCATACTGTTTCTGTTGTTACAGAATCACAAACAAAATGATACAAAATTACAAGAAATATTTTGAAATTTTGAAAGTTGTTCATTAACTTTCAAGAACTATGGAGTATGAGTTAAAATTGTTTGATATGTAAAGTAAATGTTTGTGGAAAAATGTAAAAATAAATTAAAATAAAAAAAATAATAAGGATTTTAAAAAAAGATCCATTACTGGAACCAGCAGTTAGTGTAATAGCTATGTTGCTGGACTCCCATGTAGTTGACCGCAGTTCGAGTCCCAGAGCCGGTGGCTTAAACTCATGCTGGATGCATGTGCGTGCATGCCTAAGATCCCAAGAGGAGAGTGGAAAAGAAGGGATTGTGGCATGGCCATCCCTCTGGGTGGGTAATTTCTCACTTTTTGTCTCTCTGTCTCTCTCTGTCTCTCTGGCGAACACAAGCACCCTATAGCAAAAACCTCTCCAAAAAAAAAAGATCCATTACTATTAAAATCAATTGAACTCAACCAGAAGTAGAGGTAAATTTCTCTGCATGGAGCACTTACTCAACCTAGGGCACATGAAACTCCCATAAAACAAATATTCCATTCCCCTACTGAAATAAATTCACAAGCAAAAATTACAAACGATCAAGGAAATAAATAATCATGAGAGAAAGCAAATTAATTAAACATAATAATTTTCCTGCCAACAGCTGCAAATAATATAAGATTTTTCAAAAAGCTATGAAATATATTTAAAATAATTAAAGAAGTGTGGGAGGGCATAATGAATGGAGTCAGACATTTTAGGAGGAAAAGAAAAAATCAGATTTGCAACAGAAACAAAGAGAACTTCCAGAAATGCAAATCTCTGAAAGAAAGTCAAAAATTTATGCATAGCTTAAATAATAATTAAATACTACTGAAGAGAGAATTAGTGAACTTAACGTAAATCCAAGAGAATTACTCAGACTACAACACAAGAAGATAAAGAGACAGAAATAGAGGAGAGAAATTAAAAGATATTGAGAAGAGAATGAAAAGGTCTAATTCATATCTAATAGGAATTCCAGAAGAAGGAATACAAGAGAAGTGAGGAGAGTCATTGAAGAGAAAATGCCTGAAACTTCCCTTTGTCTGAGGTTAAAGAGAAGTGGTAAATCTCATACAGGATAATAAAAACAGATATAACACCTAGGCACATCCTGATGATATTGCAGAATATCAGAGACAAAGAGGAAATCTTTTGTTTTGTTTTGTTTTGAGAGGTTTTTGCTATAGAACATGTGTGATGGCCAAAAAGTGCGAGAACGACAGAGAGACAACAAGCAAAAAATCACCCCCCAGGGGGGATAGCCACACTGCATTCCCTTCTCCTCCATTCTCCTCTTGGAATCTTGGGCACACACATGTGCCTGGAGTTAGTTTAAGCCACCGGGTCCGGGACTCAAACTGCGGTTGACTACATGTTAGTCCAGCAACATAGCCATTATACCAACTGCTGGTCTCAAAGGAAATCTTAATAACATATTTTTAAAAAGCAGAGGGACAATACAGGTTACCTACAAAGGAATGATCATTAAACTGATACAAGTGATGTCAGAGACAATGAAATAATACCTTAAGCAATGGTGGAAAAATAATAATAAGAGTGGTGCAAAATAAAGACATTGTTAAAAGACTGGAATTCTTTCATAAGCTCACACTGAAAGAATTATCAAAGGATATTCTTGTAAGGAGAAAATAAGAGGAAACAATGAAATACAACAAATAATGAAGAACTAAGAAGTTAGTAAATATATTGACCAATTTAAAAAAGTATTCACTAAGTAATAACAATGATTAATTTATGTGGGGTCTCATAACAAGATAGAGCCAATGTACTAGACAACAATAATAGAGCTGATCAAAAGAATGTAGTTAAAATAGTCCACTTTTCCTATATTGCTATCAGGAAGAGCTAGTGATTAATTTTAAATATAAGTCAAAGATGCATGTTAAAACTTAGGGATAAATTCCTAAAATAAAGGGGTAGAATACCTTATTTTCAATCCACTAGAGGGTAAAAAGAAAAAAGAAAGTCTACTCAAACTCATAGAAAGCCACAAAGAAGAAAGAAAGCAGCCAGTACATACCTGGATCAGAGTAAATAAAACAGGTGGCCAAATGGTACCATAGCAATAACATAACACTCTGGAGTGCTGATCTAGATGGAAAGGTTCTGGGTTAGTGTCCAGAGACCTCCCTGAACATAGAGGGCATTCGTGTGCCCTTGGTCTGGGGCTGGTTAAAGCTAGTCATGGGCAAGATGTGAATCACAGTGTGAAGACTCTATTGGGGGTGCCTTTTTTTTCTTTCTCTACCTCCCTCTCTTTCTCTCTGAAGAAATAAATAACTTTTAAATATTAATTGTAATTAAAATAGTGGGGAGCTGAGTCATGGAACTAAAAGGAGCTGATGACAGTCGTTGGGAAATGAAGTCTTGGAGAACAGCTGGCCAGTCAGGTTGCTGAGGCTGAAGAACAGGGTCCTTGCCTTTCTGAGATGTGTGCTTCTCCACTTCTCCTTTGTAATCAAATCCAACTGCTGACTACAGAAAAGAAGAGAAAGAATTGGTTATAGTGAGAGCTGACAGTTTTCCTCCTTCTCCCCCTCAACACTAGAGGCAGTTTATAGGGGTTCAGGGCCGACTATGGGTTTTAATGTGGAAGCAGACAGCTCCCTGACAGCTGGTGCAGAAGTGTGTTATAAAGCAATGGACATGGGCTCTGGCCACAGGCGGTTCTAGATTCAGGCCTCATGTCCCCTGTTGATAGCTGTTTAACTTTAAGCATGTTGTTTACTATTACTGATCCCCACTCTCTTCAAATATAAAATTAAGAGAAGCATACCTGCCTTACCTAAATGAGACAAGGTGTATCACGTGTCTACATTGCGTCACTCCCTAAATGAGCACTTTTCTTCCCAACTAAATCGTTACAAATTAAATGCAGTAATAGCCAGAAAAGTGTCTTGTAAACAACCAAGCTACTACAGGTGTACAGGAGACATTATCCTATTCCTAGTAGATTACACTCTGCCTCTTACTGCTTAGCAATGGATATACAGGTGTGGGTTTGGGTGGGATGAGAGCAACCAGGAGAGCCTGGATCCTAGCTGGCTTCAGGGCTGGATATGCTGGCTGATACCTAACATCACTGCAGAGCTGCATCCCTCCTGGCTCAGTAACTGTGGGCCTCTAAGCAAGCCTAGCTTTACATCTTAAGAGCTAATCAGCAGGTATTGTTTCTTGATTCCCATGACAGTGATTGTTTAGGTGATTCAGTCTGTGGCTTGTGAGGCAGAAGACATAACAAGAACGTTAGGCAAAGGATGGCAGGAGGGAGATCAAGATGAAACAGGAAAATTTTATCCTGATGACAGAATCTAAAATTATATGCTCCACGTTGCATCATTGACCTTTTAAATTACTTTCTACATTATTTCTTTCCTTTACAGTATGTTCTAAACTTTGGTTTCATTTCCTGTATAATGCAAACAATTAACATTTTAGCACTTAGCTTTAAGGATTCAGGCTCACCTAATTAACAACTGTGATTCAAAAAAATCAGCTAGCAAGATATCCTCTCTATATGCAGCTGCTGGGAGAGCAATACCTTTTTGTATCATAAAAGACAAGTTTAAAAAAAAAAAAACAGGGAACCAGCAGTTAGCGTAATGGCTATGTGGCTGGACTCCCACGTAGTTGACCACGGTTCGCGTCCCGGA